CTGGAGGGCTCACTGGCTGCCTGGTCTCAATCACCACCCCCTGCATTGCTGATTGTCCTTTCCCTCCCGGTGGTGAAACGGTGCCCTGGAGGAGGGAGGCAGTTCCCCAATACATTGCCACTTAGGGAGCAGGGGGGGACAGAATGTCCTTATCCAAAGAAGCACTATGCCTGACCCTCTGTTCAGAGGAGATAGAGAAGCCAGGGGAAGAAAGGGAGGTCACAAAGTGAGTCAGTGGTCAAGCATGGACTGGGGCCCAGAAGTTCCAGCTCTCTGTCAGATGCATTCCTGCAGCCTCTCAGATGGGTGGGGGTGAGCTGTCAGCCCTTGCTCCACTACGACAGTGTCCACACTAGCTCCACCCCCACCTAGCCTGTTGCCCCCATTAGCCCAGTCTCCACAGTGCACCGAAGTGGCCTGATATCATTGGTCCCTTGTTTAAAATCCTGCAGTGACACCCAGCCAGCGTGGCTCAGCGGTTGAGCATAGACCTATGATCTGGGAGATCGCAGTTTGATTCCCGGTCAAGCCACATGCCCGGGTTGCGGGCTCAATCCCCAGTAGGATTCATCACACATCACAATTTGATATTATTAATTTGTGGTTTCCTTGGTGTTAGCTTGTGACCTCTAGGAGGGCAGGGCACAGAATAGGTGCTCAATTAACTTTGGTTGCATGGAGAAATGGTGCAGGGAACAGAATGGCCTGGGAGTTAGGGTCAAAGGCTCCATTTTAGACTTGTTGTGTGCCATTCCAGCAGGTTCTGGCCTTCTCTGGGACCCAGTGTGTCCAGTGGGGGATATTTATGGCCTCTGAGGATCCTGCTGTTCTGATGACCTTGAGCCACCTATGTAGGACACACCCTGGGCACTGGGGCTGAAGCCAGCTGGAGGCTAGGGAGAGACTGAGGTAGGCAAGGTCTTGAAGCCCTTATATCTTGGGACCCTGTCAAGCTTTGGTGGCTACAGTCTGGCCCAGTAAGAGCAGTCCTGGGTATCTAGGGTAGGAATGTAGCCTGAAGTCCCCACTGGTCCCTCTGCTTAACTAGACAGCAACTATGCTGAAAGTCCAGTAGGGAAAGGGGCAGTTCCCACTGTGTGCCTCTTTGGCTCTCCAGCTGTAGGTTCAAAGACATACCTGTGCAAGGTAGAAGGATACTGAGCTAGAGGTTGGCAGTCCTGCATTCCAGATCTTTCCTCTCTCTGCTAACCTCAGGCAAGTCCCCTCTGCTCTCTAGGCCCTAGCTCCCATGCCTGTACAGTGGACTCCCTCTCAGGACTCTTCGAGCCCTGATATCCAAGATGACTATGCTGATGCCTGTGACATATGTGCTGCTTCCTCAGCCCAGGAGGATCCTGGGAGTGGGGGAAGGGGAGGGTGCAGCGCTGGGAGCGTGGGAGAGCCAGATGTGGTGGCCGCTGGCCCTGCCTGAGTGAGTGCTGAGCTGGCCTCCTGGGAATTCTCCCACTCAGGCGTCGTTTCCGGACCCCTTGTCCTCCCACCCCACTGAGAACTGTGGCTTCCGGCTCTGACAAGCGTGAGGGGTAGGTCCTGGAGGGGTGGGTGGTGGTGGTGGTGGTAGTCAGTTCAGCCTGGTTCCCTCCTTCAGGGAAGAGCATGGGCCTGCGAGTCTAGACAAAGACTTCGGTTCCAGTCCTGGTCTTGCAGTCACTTTCAGTCACTGGGCCTCAGTCATCCCTGCTGTGGGGTCAGCCCAGCTTCCTTCTATGACAGTAGCTCCCAGAGACACCTGAAAATCTGTCACCTTTTGTGGATTGTTCTGCTTTTCTCTATTCCTTGCATAAGATGCCTTTTGTTCATCATTTATTCAGGCCTCTCAACAGCTCTGTGAGATAAGCACATGTATCCCCATTTTACAGCTGAAAACACTGAGGCGGAGACAGCTCAGATCAGGTAATTTGTCCAGGGTGCCAGAGCTAGGAAGAGGCAGAGCTGCGTTGGAACTGCCCACATCAGAGCTCACCATGCAGTGGGGGGGGAGGGGGGGGGAAGTGCTGAACCCAAAGGCTCAGAGCTCCTCTCTCTCTCTCTGCTCCGCATCTCACTTCATCTCGCTCAGCACTCCCCACACTCTGTGCTCAGCCAGTCTCAGCCCAGCCTCCCCAAGACAGAGTTGTTTGAGGCTGGACCTGGCTCTTAACACATCTGGGAAAATGGGAGACTGGTCATGGCTCCTTCTGTCCACAGTGGGGCTGGAGGCCATGCTGGAGGCCAGCACCCCAGAATGTTGGTGCTGTATGTCCATGTGCACTGCCTACCGCCCACCCTTCAGAGTGCACAGGGAAACTGAGGCCCAGAGAAGGAGAGCTCAGCCCCCAGGGCACACAGCGATGGGCTGCAGCCAGAATGAGGGAAACCCACTGTATCAATCATAACAGGTCCAGACACTGTACTAAGCCCATTAAGTGCATTACGTATTGCAACAGTCTTACAAATGAATCCTTGAATCACCTCCCTTTTCCAGAGAAGAAGACAGGCTCAGGAGTTTAAATGACTTGCCTAAGATCATGCAGCTTGAAACTGCAGAAGCTGGGATTTGAATCCAGCTGTCTCTAGCTTCGGAACCTGCCCTGTCAATCATGACCCTTCTGCCTCAACTGTCCAGCCCTCAGTGTCCTATGGTGTTCTGTGTGGCTCTACATCCCCCATCCCCATCTGAGCTGAGAGGAGGTGTAACAGCCCTGGTGCCTGCCAAGGGTTAATGGTAATAGGGGCTAAGTGATTCCAGATGGGCCAGCCGGACGGCTGGGCTGGCCGGAAACTGGCCGCCGCCAGCTTCCCAGGGGAGCCACCACCAGCCACCCCCTCCCCTCTGTGCTGCATCTCTGGCCCCCAGCTGTCCCCGTGCCCTGGGTCCCACTAGCCTCCTCTCCCTAACCAGAGTATAACTCTAAGGAAGTTGCAGACAGAGCTTCCTAAGGACCTATCGGCACAGGGAGTCCCCTATTATGTACATTTGGGGAAACTGAGGCTCAGGAGGACAAGGTACCTACCCAAGGCCACACAACAAGTCCATGACTGGGTCTCCTGACTCCCAGACTAGCTTTTGGGGTGACTGGGGATTGAAATGCCTCCTTGCTGCCCCTGAGCTATCCTGGTCCCAGCAGATGGGCTAAGACTTTGGAGGTGAATGGCCAAGGCGAATGCCAGGAGGGGCGCTGTAAAGACTGATGAAGTTTTGGGCACAAGGAATCCCTGTGTAGGCCGACCTATGGTCTTTAAAGTGCCCCATATTCCCCTATGACCTCGCTGCCACAAAGCTGGGCCAGGCCCCCTCTCTTGGGAGGCTCTCTTGGCCCCCACCCTGTGGCCTGGGGTCAGTCTGAGAACCCTTCTTTCCCTGTGTGGCCCAGCCCAGATGCTCTGCTTATCCCAGTGGAATAAGACCAAGAAATGACCCCAAGATAGGTTACTATGGTTGGCACAAAATCCCAGGTCAAGCAACCCCCCGCCCTGTGAACAGGACTTGAGTGAGTCTCAGGAAAAGAAGGGAGTAGACAGAGGAGCAGAGTTAGGCTCTGCCTGAGTGACCTGGGACACTTTCTTCCCCTCTCTGGGACTCAGTTCCCCTTGTATATAATAGTAGGGGCAGGGGGTGACTCAGCTCAACTCTCTAAGCATTTTAAATGATGCCCTTTGGCATCCAAGGGCCAGGTGTCTGTTACTAGAGACATCTTATCCGAGGAGATGAGGGTGGGAGAAGTGAGGGGCTGAGGACCCAGCTGGGGTCCTGGAGGGGACCCTGGTGGGGAGGGAGGCCGGAGGGTGGACATGTAACATAACAGGTACTCGGACATACCTGCTGAGGCACTGAATGAGAGATAGGGAAAGGGATGCCCTAGGAAGAAGGTGGGACAGAACCAGCCTACACTGCAGTGTGTTTTCCGTTGGGGTCAGATCACCTGTGTCTGTTCCATCGTGTCACTCATGGGACCTGATTCTGTCCCAGCTCTGCCACGGATTGCTGTGTGAGCAAGCACTCAGGAGTGAACATTTCAGTACTTCGGAGTGAAATGGGGGATAAAATGGGGATAATTCTTTCCCAGGGCTGTAGGAGCTTTGAGATAATAGAAAGAAATATATCTTGAAATCTGAAGCATGCTGGTGACCTTGGACAAGTATTTTTCCCTCTGCACCAATTCACTCCTGGGCCTTGGTTTTTTCTTCTGAGAAGTGACTGATAATCTTGGAAGGTCTTTCCATCTGTTCCAAGTCACCTCCTCTCGGAAGCCCTCTCTGATTGCCTCAAACCTCAGTCAGATACCCCTCTAACTGTACTCTCAGCCCCTTGCCCTCCCTTGGAATACCTGCCAGTGCATTGTCTCTTTCCCACCAGCCTGGGCGCCCCTGACATTAAGGACTGTATCCTACTGACTACTGCATTCCCAGCACCCAGCACAGTGTCTGGCACATAGTAGGTGCTCGACATGCTTGTTCAATGAATGAATGTTGAGTGAATCAACCGTATAAGTTATCAGAACTCTCTTTACAGATGGAGAAACTGAGGCACAGAGAAGGGCCCCACCCCCAGGTGCCATGGCAAGGGGAGGCTGCCACCCGAGACAGGCATCGGGCGAGTGGGGCTGGGGCACTCTTTAATAAAAGTGACTCAGCTGCTGGCGTGGGCTGTGGAATTTCTAAACATCCCCTCACATCCTGAGAGAGCAGGCGACGGGAGGGAGCGAGCAGAGGGAAAAGAGGAAGAAAAACAAGAAACTTGGGGGAAAAGAAAGAGAGGAGGGAAAAAACTCAAATTGAAAACAGACACACGCGTCCACCCTCCCTGCTCCACCGCCCCCCTCCTCCAGCTGGGCCAATCAGAGGCCGCCCTGCAGCCTTTCCCCCAAAGGGGGGGGGCAGGGAAGCCCACAGTGGTGCGAGCTCGGGGGCTGCCAGCAGCCCTCAGGCCCTGCCCGCCCCGTCTGGGACCCGGGATCGCTCAGCGAGCCACTTGGAGCGGGAGAGGACAGCCAGGAGGGAGCCGGGCCCCTCTGACCAGCGCTGCCGGCAGCAACCTGTGTGGAGCGACACAGCCAGCCAGGCCCGGGGGGGGGCCCCTCCTGGCTACCCTGCGCCTCCAAAGGGATGCTTTGGGTGTGAGGCCACTCCTCACCCCTGCAGCCCCCGACTCCCTCCCTCCTCCTGAGGCTCTCCGAGAGCCCACAACAGTCTTTTCTGCCCCCCTACCCAGCTGCTTTCCCATTTCTGGCCATCAAAGACTTTCTGATAACGAGAGAGGGCAGTGAGGAGGACTTCCTGGAGGGGGTGACAGCCCAGAGCCTGGGATCTTGTCCCCACCAGAAGGCTTTATTCAGCAGCAAGGTAAGTGCTTGTCTGGGGGTGGGGACGGACCCCAACTCCTTGTCCTGTCCCCTTACCCCAGCCTGTGCCTTCTCAAGTAGGTTAAAAAATGGAAAATATGTTTAACAAAACCAGATGGGAGGAGACGGGAGGCTGCGGGCAACTTCAGGGATGGAGGAGCCAGTTTTATACTCTCTCCTGCTTAGGCTGCTCCTGGGGAGGGTGGCCCAGGCTTCCTCAACCCTGCCGCCCCCGTCCTCATCAAACAACCCCCAGAAGCTTCTCGCGGTGCCAGGCTGAGTGGAGGGGCCTTCAAAGCACAGCAGCGCCTGTTGGGGGTGGGGAGAGCAGGGAGGGGAGTGAGGAGGAAATTGGGACATGGCAAGCAGGGCACAGGGAAAGGGGACCTACCAGGACACTGAAGACCTCAGAGCCATAGCCTTATCCCTGGGCCCAAGCCTGGTCCCTAAGGATCTGCCTGGCTTTAAGCCAGTGGGCCGCCAGGCAACCTCTGGGGATTTAAATGGATTTGCAAATTTTCCAGATTCCTAAGATATCCTTCCAAACCCCCAGTGGCTGGGAAAGTTTGAAGGCGAAGGGGCTGGGGCTTGGCAGGCCATGTTCACGCAGCTGGGGCTGGGGGTCTGGGACCCAGCCGTCAGATCTGGGGGCCCCCCTGTGAAGAAGGGGGGTCGGCTGCTGGGTCCTTTTCCCTGGTCCCAGGCAGCTGATCGTGCCTCCTGGCCCTGTCCCTCCTTCCACCCCTTCTCCACTCTATCCTAAAACATGAATCAGATCACAGTTCTCACTGTGACTCTCCCAGGCCTGTAGAAAGCCCAAACATCTAACCATGCTGCCTGTTGGACACTTACTGCATGCCAGGACTGTGCGCAGTGCTTTATAGTGTGATCTCTATAGTGTAACTCTAACCAGCAACTCCAGAGGCAGGGCCGATTTTACTCTCGCCTTACATCAGGGGAAAATGAGGCTCACAGCAGCGACAAAACTGTACCACACAGCTAGTAAGTAGCAGAGTGCTGCTAGGTAGTAAGCTCCCTGCCCATCACTCCACACTTGGTCCTTGTGTTCCTGTTCCTTCCTGTCAGACTCCAGGATTCCCAGAAGGAATTTGCACTATTTGCCTGTGGACACTTCCTGCACTTTCCCTTCAAGGATCCTTCCCACTCTACCTCCTCCAGGCAGCCTTCCCAGGTTCTTCCAGTCTTCCAAGTGCCCACCATGCTCTTTTCACTGGTGCCTTGTTGCTTGCCCCTTTCTTCCTATTTGTGTTCTCTTTGCACATCAGAGATCCTTCAGACCCTGATCTTTCCCATCTTGTGTTCTATGCCCCCCCAGCTGCAATGGGGCTGAGAAAATGTCCTGGTGAAAGGGAGGAGGGACTGGCTGAAGACCTTCTGTTCTCAAGTGTGAGACCAGAACCCAGGCCTCCTGTCTTCCCTCAGGTACCCTTCCAGAACACACAGATCATGCAGTTCCTCCAGCCTGCTTTTGTCTGTGTCAAACGGGGAGGAGTGCCCCTGCCTGCATCTGTGATCCCAAAGTGCACAGAGGCCTCTAGCGAGGCCTCCAGAGGGCCTTGAGTCTACAGCACTCAGGGATAGGAGGGCCATGTTGGTCACTGTCATCAAGTGCTGACCCCATGCCAGGCACATAACCTGGGACCTCACACGCCTTATAATCCCCACAGCAGGTTTTTGGAATCAGTACTGCTCCGCTTGCTTTGCAGACAAGGGAACCAAGGCTTAGAGAAGCTAAATGACTTTCCCAGGGCCACACAGTAGAGTTGGTATTTAGGCCACCATCCGCTGAATCCAAAGGCTTAACCCCCTTGCTACCCTGGCTGCAGGGGAGAGAACTCTCACAGAGCTTCTCCTGGCTCTGGCGCCTCCAGCAACAGAAAGCTCAGCATCAGTCCTGAGCTGCTCCTGGGTCTGCCAGGCCCTGGCTTGGTCCTGAATGAGGGCGTCTGGTCATCGCCCTCCCCGCCAGTGCTCAGGCAGCCCCCCTCCTCTGTGGGAAGTAGAACTGAGACTTGTAATTGCCCACAGATGTGGGGCAGTGGAAAGCACCACAGAGTTAGAGTCAGGAGACCTGGCGCTTGCCCTGGCTCAACTCAAATCCATTGTGTGGCCAACCTCAGGCCCCATGTCTTCTTTCTGGGCTGTGTCCTCACCTGGAAGGCAGTGGGCACCACGAGTAAATAACGCCATGCTTGGGCATCGGTTGACCATGCATTAACCGTGATTCGGCTTCTGGCTGACTGTGTGACCCTGGGCCAGTGCTCTGCCTCTCTGGCGTCGGTCCCCAACTCTGTGAGCAGCAGGGCAGTATGTAGGCTCCATGAGCTAACAGGGTAGGTAAGACTCAGCACGGTTGGTCCCTGCACTTCACGGGCAGGACTCAATGTCATTGTCTGAGCAAGGGCCCTTGCTCTTCTGCCTTTGGGCTGAAGGAAGGAACTCTGGGTGTTTTGCTCAGGACAGGCTACTGAGTGTGGTAAAGGGGGAGGAAGGAGTGAGAAGGTTCCCAGACATCCCTGAAGTACATCCCCTGCTTACACCCCCATTTTTGCACATGGTTCAGAACCCTGCGATCAGTGGAGCCTTGGACTGGGGGAGATCTTCCTCCACTCTTTTCCACAGTCCTCCCCCACCCGCACCCCAGGAGCCTCCCCAGGGTCAGAACTGGTAGCGCCTCAGCTGGAAAGCAGTATGTACAGGATTATATAATAGGGACCAGCCCTTTCTGAGCACTTCCATTGTGCTGTGCATCCATTACCGCGAAGTCCACTGCTGTATTCCTCAGTGCTTGGAACAGGCCTGGCATTCAGTAAGTGCTTAAATATTTACTGAACTAATTTAATCATCACATCGGCCTCCAGAAGTATACATAAACTCTCTCCATTGTACAGATGGGGACATGCCCAGAGAGGTTAAGTCAGTTGCCCAAAGTCCCACAGCTAGGAAGTTGTGGAGCTGGGACTTGCACCTGGGTGTTTCTGACTCTAGTGCCTTGGATAAGAAGCTGAGTGGGGCCTGGGGTCACCACTAGGGATCCCACATAAACTCTGAGAATGTGCCTTAGCTGTGGGGGCCCCTCAGAGTTCCAGAGGTGGTTACCAGACCTTGGAGCCCATCCTGTGTGCCTGTGGGGGAGTCAGTCCCTCTCTGGGCCTCATTTTTCCCATCAATAAAACAAGAAGGTTGAACGAGACAGTCTCTGAGATCCTTCTAGCCCTAAAACAATTCCAGGATTCCAGGCCATGCCAGCCCAGGTTGGCAGCTGCACCAGCCCTATTGTTTACTCAGGGATCATGCATATTTAAAGGGTTTTTTCTTACCCTTTTTCTACACGTTATAGAAAGCGGTCAGGATCGATGACCACTAATGGAAAACTGTTACCTGCAATAACTAAGAAGACCTTTCAGACGATTAAGAGCAGTCTGTTAATGCTCAGTTTCTCAGGGAGCAGAGCCCATGTGCCCATTTTCCTGGGATACTGAGGAAGGAGGGTCGGGAGGTGTGCCTGTTAGGGTGTGTGTGTGGATGCTGTGACCCTTTAGGTCCTTTCCAATGCTGATTTTATTTTTTAACCTCATATGCTCTGATTTTAAGAGGAAGCAAGGCTTTGGCCTATGGTGGGTGGACAAAAGATGGGATCCTGGGTGAGGGAATAGATACAGAGACGCAAGGAGGCATGGAACTCACACGCTAGTTGATTCCAGTGTAGAAGTCCAACTCAAGCCCCTCCTAAGACTTCAGCCCAGAGCCCTCAGGCAAAAGGGCTTCCTGAACCCTCAGGCCCCAGGCCCAGAACTGCTCCCACTTCCCAGATGCTCTCTGGGCACCCCTCCCCCAGTCTAGTGCAGGTGGTTGGAAATCAAAGTGTATTGCTTTAGCTGCATTAATGCTTTTCTTCGCCTCACTTCAGATCAAGGCTATTTGATGTTTCAGGTGCCCGAAACCTTTCATCTGCAAGAGGTACCAGCTTCTCTGCCTTGTGATGGGAAGGGTTGTCCCTTGGGAGGTGGGGGCAGCAGGGCTAGGGGGTCAGACAGTTCCTGAAGGTCAGAGATAAAAAGGGCTTTTAGGGCCACTGGTTCAACTTCCTTATTGTACGGATGGGAAACTGAGGCCCAGAGACAGGGAGGATGCACCTTAGGTTATATAGATCGTCAGCGATAGCACTGAGCCCAGGACCCACCCTGCAGGCCTGGCCTTTCTTCTATGCCACCACAGGTGCTGTATCTTCACCACCCACCTCTGTGGTCCAGAGCTTAGGCTCTAGCTTTCCCTGGGGTAAGGCCACAGGGCAGAGTCTGGGTTGAAGAAGAGGGATGCCATCCCGACAAGTGGTGGGAATCCCCCTGGGTAGTTTTGTGAACCACAGAATCTTTGTTCACATGGCTTCTCCATTCAACTATAATTTCCTTTTCTGTAAAATGGAAGAGGGGGGCAAGGGAACAGCACAGTGACCCTAGAGGTTCCATCCAGCTCTACCCTTAGCCCCTGAGAGTCCCTGGCAGGCCCAGAGAGATGGATAAACAGGCTGGTGAGTGGATGAAAGGATGGATGAACAGATGGCCTCCCCTTCAGTCCAGGGAGCATGGGTGACTTAAGGACTATTTCACCTGTGTGGTCACAGAGACCTCTGCACTTAGAAGGGCCCTGCACTTGAAATCCTTAACCATTTTCTAACAGGGGCCCTGCATTTTCATTTTGCACTTGGCTCACAAATTACCTAGCTGGTCCTGCCAGGGAGGTCAGCTGGGTCTGAGATGGCTGCATCCCCAAACTTGTCCTCACTGCCTCCACTGTCCCCATCCTAATCCATGCCCTCCCACAAAGTGCCAACCTGCTCCTGTCACTCTCCTTAGTGGAGCCCCCCACCCATAGTGCTTGGAGTTGCACCATTGTGGCTGCCCAGCCAGCAGCCTGCCCCCACCCTCACTATCAATGTCATGAAAATTGGCTTCCTTTACCTCCAGGGCAAAGCCCAAA